ACCACAGCTCCCTTGGGAGAGTGACGGGTCACTCTCATGTAACCCCGTTACAATTATTGTGTAAACAAAGCTAGATGTAGTAAACAGGGCAAGTAGTGCGAGCTCAAATCTTGTAATGACAGGCCAAAACTTAACACAGAATATGTTATTGTCCTTATGCATTGTACGAGTACGTACAACACACGACTATTGAGGACAGTAGACGGTATGCTAAGAAGCTGTAGATACCAATTGCATAAAAAATATCTGTCGGTCTTGCAAAAAGAAGACTGGCCAAATTGATGAAAATTCTTTCGATCATTTCTTGAGCTCTAAACACTTGTAGCGTTGCCTCGTTCACAAACTTAATTTGACGTAAGCTCTTTTCCTATGTATGGCGTGGCTTGAACGCTATGAGCCATGGATGGAGTCGAAGTTGATATCTGAGGTGCAAGACCTTTCTAGCTCTGCTGCGTCACTACAAATACTTGAGCAAGGAAGGGGTATAATGTGGGAATGACAAGCTTCATGCGGTACATGTGATTGTGTAGATTGTGAAAATTTTCCAGATAAGCCGCGGCCAGACAGAAAAGTGCTATTCTCTAAATGTATCTAAATGAGCGACGGTATATTGTGACCCCCAGAGCATATTTCAGGTGGGACGAACCGTTTTATCACCGTATTGAAATAACCTGCGCCAGAGTCAGTGCAAAGTTAGAGCGATTGTGTGTCGCAGCCTCCTGTGTCACGGCCGATGGTGGGTGACGACAGTAAATCGTAAGATGAAGGGCGGAAATACGAGGCTACTAAAAGGATTAAATATTTTACATGATGGAGCGAGACGGCTGGGTTAGAATTACGGTAGCGCACCTGCCATTTTAGTTAGTAACCCTCGAGATTGTGGCGAGAGAGATAGTTTACTTGTGAATGGAGCGACTGGCATAAAATCTGAGGATTCGGAAGCTCTTCTCACTATCTTCAAAAGAATCTTTCATTTTTACTAAGAGACGTTTGTAGATAAAATAGAAAGACGTGAAGTCACCGATATGGATTGGCTGGCACCGAAGCGGAGCCGCACTCATCGTTTAGCATGAATGAATTGTAACAGAATTACACATACCATGGTAACAGGGGTGTGTGTCACACCAGACGGGCATGGTATGACAACACTCAAACAAGAATACGGTACGGGGCTGGATAGCCAGTAGTTATACATGTATTGAGATTTTACTATACAAATTCAGAAAATCTATGCATTTAGAATTAGGCGGCTTTGCCGAACATAAAAATAAGTGAAGACAGTTTTATATTCAAACCGAAGAGTTAATTAGCGTTTGGTTAAGGCTATATATACTCTTGGAGAAAGCGGGTTGTGATCCGCTAAACTCGTACTTGTTCTGAGTATAGAACAAGAGGTCGGCGACCCAACTTACGCTTCCTCAAAGCGCAAAGCTGCGGCAGCCACGCTGCACTTAGTAGTACTTGTAGTCAATCTACACATGAGTCTCAGACTGATTCTCTGTGAGGATGGTAGAATTTTCCTCTTTGCCCCAGGGCAAGCAGGAAGGGCTTAAAAAGCTTAAAAGGCTGACGTCCTTGCTTGGCCCTGAGGTCGTGCAGCACCTTGAAGTGCAAGGCCCCGACGCAATCGGTGCGCGTCTAGAGGCTTTCTCAAATTACGAAAACGCGCTGCTACAGCACCTACGGCAGAAAGTGTCTGCTTTATTTGCGCCTATGACGCCACCACCAGTAACGGATGACTCCCTCCACTCTAAGCCGCTCATGGTGAGCGTTAAGGTCTTCGAGGGGAAAGATAAAGAAAATCTCCTGCTCTGGGTGAGAGAGGTCGAGGTGGCCATCGCATCCGCCATGCTCCAGACCGAGCAGCAGCGCGTGGCGCTAGCTATCTCAAAGCTCGGTGGTCGAGCGCGAGAATGGGAACTGACGTGTGGCACTTAGGTCGAAGCTGTGTTTT